ATAATCTGTAAGACGAAATAAAAATAGACACAAGTGAGATATTTTGTTAACATACTGACACAGTAGAGTTTAAAATACTATAAAAAGACTTGCCAATCAGAGCATAATGCTGAGGTCTCAGACGGGTATCTTTTTATCAGGAGAAAAGTCTGAGAAGTTTGAAACTCCGACAGAAGTCTAACACTGACGATCAAAAAGATAATGATTTGAAATATATTAATTAAGCTTTTATTTCTTATTATTATATTCTTATTAAAAATTGTTTGTCTTGCCTATAAAGAGAACATGTTGTCTGTAAATACGAGAAGCTACATGAAAAACGGGGAGAAAGACAGACAGTAGTCAAGAGTTCACTTACTCATTCTCATTGAAAAACACATGCATTTATTTACCTGTCAAAGCATTATCTCTCAGTTAGAGGTGGACACTCTTCTGTTCCCCTTTCAAAGAATCAATTACAAATGATTCACACAATAGTGGAATGTTTGTGTCCGGATAAATGATGAAAGTATTAGCATAACTACAGGCTCTAGAAGAGAGCGTGTCTGATGCCACGGGCCACACGGATGAGAGATGATGCCCAAGGGCCGACTAGGACAGACGGGCTGGTTCCCATATTGCACCGGGGTGCAGAAAAGCTGTTTTTTGTCGCTTCAGAGCAGCGCAGCTGTGTGACACACACACACACACACACACACACACAGAGAGAGGCACTATGGACCTGCTTTAGGGCATGCGCTGGGAAAACTGGTCTGTCACCATCTTCAAACTTCACATCATTAGCTAGTGACTATATAATCAATGCCTAATAAAACACAGAGTCGATTAATCTAACGTCTGATTTGAGATGTGCTAAGAATAGATCTGTTCATATTACAGGAACACTTTTTTAGTTCAGATGAGAGACAAGTTTGACCAGTAAAGCGTGAACAGTTTAAGGACTTATAATTTTCTATTTTCCCTTGACAGCAGCAGTGAAAAGCCAGGCATAACCTCAACACTATTTATATTTAAACACTTCAGGGCACATTTAGGAATTCTTTCTCAATCTGCATATTGTATGAACCACTGACTCTCATGTGCTGGATTTTACCTCCCTAGTGTGCTTAATAGCAGACAGATGAACCTGATTATTAGCCTGTGGGACACTTCAGGATGAGCAAAATAAAACAGAGCATGACTTGAGCTGTAAGTGCACTATATTAGTTGTTTTTCATTTTTCTTTTTATTTAAAAGTTATTTTAAGTTTTTCACAACCTATGCCTAGTGTATAACAAAATAAGAAAATATTATAGTATAGTATAGTATAGTATAGTATAGTATGTTATATTCCTCGTCATTTTAACAAGTTTTATGTAGGCTACTTTTATGTCGTGTATTAAAGAGATAAAAAGAGAGCTAGAAGGAGGGACCGAGAGGCAGAAGATCGTCATCCTGCTGTTGTTTCATCTGTGAAGAATTTCTCATTTCGTTTCCTAATTTATATTTTCAGCATGTTGCGTTTTACGACTGGCCTCTAAAAGGCATATTTCTGCGAAATCAGGTTTATGATCTAAAACGTGGCTGAACAGCAGTAAAAGTTAAATATTGAACTTTCATTTCTGCGTAATTTTTGAGGCAGTAACTTTAAATGGCCTGTGAACACAACACGTGCTGAACACAGACGCTCCTCGTGTCAAAAATACTATAGACTACATAAAATAATAAATATTATAATATACAATATGAATTAATATAATATATAAATTGTTGTTTTTTAATTTACTTTTTTTTTTTTTGCATATATCCTCTCAAAAGTTTTTTTTTTTTTTTAAGTAAGATTGCAAATTCCGTTGAATTTTAAGGTAATTGCAGTTTCATAATTCAGGAAATGAATTAATGAATGAATTGTTAAAATGTGCCATAATTCGCATTATTTGTCACATTAATATGCTCTGATATATATAAAACTCTGCTATAGGTCTGCATGCACATTTCTCTGAGAAGCACAGAATTACATACGCATTGTGTGCGTGTGCGTGCGCGCGTGTTTCCATTTACTTACTAATATGCCTTGGTTAATAGACAACATATATCTAACAGCTAACCGATTCACCTTTTAATTTTGGGCCTGAATGGCAAGATCAATGGATAACTGTTGTAATGATCTAATTAATTATGTCGAAATTAAAAGAGAGCGCTGAATCAATCTCTTGCGTGAAGCCTCCATCTGTCCCCTCACAACACAAGCTCAGGGCCCAAATCCCTTTACTTTACACTTTCCTATTGGAGTTTAGGGTTTCATTGCGTATTTTTGAGCCAGTCGTTTTAGTGCTTAGTTCGTTAAAAGGTTGTAATTTCACTTATAGGTTTAAAAAGGTATTTTGTTTAGCCAAAAATGTAGCGGTGTTGATGTGCCCATAACTCTCACTAAAATATTTTATAAAATAAATAAATTCATAAAATTAATAAACAATCGAATTATTATCGTAAATATCAAAGCAGAGAATAAAAAAATAATCTAATAAGAATTAATATTTTATAAATGAATATTTTGTTTATACCTATATGAAAAGTCCTACACGTTTGACTTCCATGTGACGTTCATGCACACATATTCAAAATAGAAAGAATCATATTAAACCACTTTAAAAAGCTCTAAAATGGAAGAACTCTTCGCCGTTCCATCAGATGCATAAGCAGATAGCTTAACAGAGTTTCTCTCCGCACGTGTCGGTCGCTCGGAGTCAGACTCACTTCTGATGCTCGCTAATGAAGCGCGCGCTGCTCTGATCGATCAGTGACGTTACCATGAGAACGGGAGGCTGAGAGAAAGAGGAAATATCTTCACCTCTGGCAAAATGAGCTTCCTCGATGCTCAGCAGAACGACGAGGGAGAACAGAGGAGAGCCGGAACGAACGGAGAGATCCATCTTCGGGATGTGTGTGGTTCCCGTCTGTGTTTGGAGAGACTCTGAACAGCGCCGCATAATGTTAATATTACTGTTATTATAAATATGTAAGAGTGACATTGAACTGCTAATTATATAATTTGTTTTTTATTTTTATTTAATTGATATATATTTTTTTATTATTATTTTTGTTACGTTTTAGTTTATTTATAGATCCATTAATGATTATGTGTGATTCCGTTTATTGCTGTTTGAATGTTTTTAATAAATTTGGCGTCCTCTTGTATCTGAAACCCTGACGGACTCAAATACATAACGCCGAGTCCTGCTATGATTTACAATGTCTGCTCAAATTCAGTGTGAAATTTCTCCAAGGGTGACAAAAACACTAACACTTAATTTTAGAAGTCTTCAAAAAAAAAGAGCAAAAAACGCAGAGAGCACAAGGGCAGGGGGAAAGGCTGGGAGGGGGTCTCACAGAGAGAGAGAAAAAACCCTAGCTTTGGGGAAGGTGTGCAACGGAGGGTGAAATTAGAGCCCGCAGTGCTACATATTGTACCAGAAGCTCCTCCAAAAACACCAGGAGAAAGAAAAATCATCCTCTAACCTAACTAGGAGGCGGACTAGCCGACTTGCCCCCTGCGTCCCTCAGAGATCCGTCCAAAACATTTCCACTTTACTGCCGCTTTCTCCAGTCTTTATAGTGCCAGCGAGTATTTCATTCTTTGTTTATAAAATATCACCATGAAGTAACTAAACATAAAATACATTCTTTAAAAAAAACTGTCATATTGTTAAATATTGTATGAGGTAATATTGTATGCATTAATATTTTAAACAAAATTATATTTTTCCATACATTTCAGTTAAACCCTTCCTAATCTTGAAATTACATTTTGTAGATAAATATTTTAATTATTTAACTTTTAATTATTTTTATTTAATTTAGAATGACTCCTCTATTAAATCTGCAATTTAGTATCCGTTTATTATATTGGCTCTTTCATAAAGCAATGTGGTTTATTGAAAATCCCTGATGGAAATCATACAAAAATAAAGCGATACCCTCTTGTGAATAACAAGCACAACATCATACTCTGAATAAAGGTAAAACACTTACAAAAATGTAAAAAATAAAAATAATTTGATGTTTAAAAATTAAAAAAGGGACAATGTATTAATAGACAAGTTGACTTTCCTTTGCATCTTCCTGTTTTTGAGTTAAAAAGGGTCCAGGTGTGTCTGAAATTTAAAATATATTCTTATATTTATATGATAAAATAGCTACATTTGCATTTTTTATTTACAAATAAGAAGTTAAGAAGTCTGTAACTTAAGTAGCCTACTGGTGTTTAGAACTAACTCTAAATCTAGACTAAGGAATATCAATGCAGTGCTGCCTTGCAATCAATTGAATGCAATACAATATAACATAACTATTTCAAAACTGTAATATTTTCCTTTGCCTCAAATTCTTTAACGATATATAAAAAAATAATAATATATATATATATACCCAAATCTTTTTTTGTTGCGTCTCCGGAGGATTTGGAGACGATATAGCGCCACCTACAGTCAGCCTCTGTCAGTCTGACCCTATCCAAAGCTCACCGCAGAGACGAGCGCAGCAAATCAGAACAAGATGGTGTTTAAATCAAACCATAATCACACCATCGACCTCTCCATTAATGACATTAGAGCTGTGCTTTTCCAGCAAGATGCGTATTTGGCATATTTTTTTCGGAGGCCACAGCTGTGCGCATTTATTCTGAGTGTTACTGTGAGATGCTGACTGAAGGTGAAGGTTAATTTAATACAAATGCTCGTTTTACGCATCTTATTACCTGTGCGCTCGTTTGTTATTCGTTACAGAATTTATACGATTCATTGCGAACATGGAAGACAATACGCAATTCTGATTTGACAGAATTCCTCATAAGTCGTAAACGATTATATCACAAAGAAAAGCAAATGATTAGCTTTCATCCTCGCTCAATTTCCACTAAACTCTCATTCATTCAGAGGCGCCGAGTTTCTCCCTCCCCTTTTGGAGTGACAGGCGGATGGAGCTTCATCTGAGCGAATCACAAAGTGCTGGAATCTACTGCCTTTGTCTGATACACTCATCCATAGTGGCGAAAGGGGGTCTGCGTAAAGAAGGGGGCTGGAGCTTTTACAAACCAACACGAGCGACCCAAGTCCTTCAGTCCCGGGCCGTGCGCGCGGGCGAACGCATCGGGTTGTTATTGAGGGAAAGCTGGGCACAGGAAACCCGCAGTCTCCAATGGTTCTGCTATCTGTCATCCATGCGCAGAACCCAAACCCGGCAGCCCCGCACCTGCTAACCGAGACCACCGGGATATAAGAGATACTAACACGCGGATGGATGGGACCAACGCTGGAAAATGAGTTCTGGGGAAAGCATGCGTGCTGAAAACATTTAAGCATTTATTGCTTTGAGAGCAATTTGTTCTGACCTAGAACATACGGTCATGTCTGACACCTGACAAATCCTGCGTCCATCTGCAACTTTCCGAAGTTCCCCTCTCCTCGGCTGGATTCACCTTACATCTTCGTTTCTTTCAGTTGTTCTGTGCGTAAGAAAGACGAGACGGCGACTTCAGTTGATTATCGGTCTTTTCTCTGTTATCCGATGGATATTCACTGTAAGGCAGACCCCTTCTCCGCCATGCACCGTGAGTTACACTGGAGTTTATCTGGAGAATGTTTTTCACATTTGAGCCAATTAAGATCCTCACTGGAACAGGAAATTATTAGGCTTCCGGATAAAAAGATAAAAATTGCACTGTTCTTATATTGCATTTAGGAAAAAACAAGATAATAAATAAAACCATAGAAAATGGAAACATAAAGAACTCGGTTAATAATCGAGATAAACGTGCCGGCGTGTGGTGAAGAAATTAAAACATGCGTTTGCTGCATTATTATTTACAACAAAAAAAAAAGTAAATGCAAGGAATTAAAAAAAGATCAAAATATTGAGAATATTGGGAACATTCCACTTCGATTCACTGTAGTAAATATTCATGATTATTCAAAGCAAAAACTGTACATTATATATATAATATATGTAACATAACAAAACAAATTGCTTAATGCTTCTGCATCAAGCTTTGGACTTTCAATTGAATTAAAATGGAATGTTTTAAGAAAAACAATCAATTGAGAATAACAATATGTAATGTGATCAAACAAAACTGTTTAATTATTTATATCTAGGGAATGAAAACAATAAATGCTCGTGTAATTTAATCGCTCACCTACGAGAAACAAACCCCAGCATTGTTTCAACAACCCGGACAGGAGTTTAATGTACATCACTAGAAAACATATAGAGGAAAATAAATGTTAAATTGTTTGACCCTATAGAGAATTTGTGAAATGCTTTAAAAATGCTACTGATCGTCAATTATTTTACGCAAAATATGATATTTTACGTCAATATTTTTACGCAAATATTATATTTACGCAATTGTATTACATCTACAATGGATTTAGAGACAGAATATATAGACTACTATATATATATATATATATATATATATATACAAATCCATTGATGTAAAGTGTGTTTCAACTGCTTTGTGTCGTTTTTCACATTTTTAATCTTTTTTAAACTTCAATAATTTACAATCAAATTTTAGAAGTAGAAATGTTCATGTAGTCTCTCATTTAATGAGCTCACAAAACACTGAATGAATAAGAATTAGCAACATGCAGGCAATAGTTTTATATAGAGCACACGACGAACCACCCAACATGCAAACATTTGCTCTTTTTAACAGCACAAAATTGAGAATCATGCAAGTTTGCGTTTTTCCCTGATTATTATCCAATTTGAAATCAACAAAACCAAAAGAGTCACCTCTAATGAGCTTGAACGATCTGTGATCATTATTATTATTACCTTTCCCAACACTGTTTTCCATCTCAGACTATAAAAAAAATGCTTTAAATGGCTTTTATTTTCATAGAAAAAAAGAGACAATTAATTTATTTTGGGCTGGGCCTATATATACATGCTTAAAAATAAATTATTTGACCAATGATTTGAATCCTTTATGTTTTCCATCTCAGACTATTAAAAAAATGCTTTAAATGGCTTTTATTTTCATAGAAAAAAAGAGACAATTAATTTATTTTGGGCTGGGCCTATATATACATGCTTAAAAATAAATTATTTGACCAATGATTTGAATGCTTTAAAAGGATTAATTATTAAAATAAAATTAATTTGCTAGTTCAGGCTATTTAAACAAGGTCAAAAGGCAGAAGTAGAAATGCTAATGTGCTTGTTCAGTCATTGCTCTTCCATTTTATTAAATGTAATAAATAATGGATTTATTAATACATTGATTTATTAGTCCAAAAAATGTTTCTAACATAAATTGATTTTAGCTTAGCTTATTGTTGTTTGGTCATATAGAATTCCGTTTCAAATATATATTTTCTTCATCTTGGATTAATAAGTGAGTTACTAAAGCAGATGGGCTGTTTAATGTCCTGCTGCGCAACATTTTAAATTAGTATTCTAATCATATGATAATTTCCTACTAGTGCTGCTATGGGCCCTGTTAAGTAGCTTAGATAAAACATTTTCATGGCTTTGTTAGCACGCATCTGTTGTTTATTGTCATTAGGTTTGGTCAGGTTATGAAAATCAGATTTACAGTTGTTTCTGCAGATATTATGAGACTGGCAGCATAAAGCCTGGAGTCATCGGAGGATCCAAACCTAAAGTGGCCACGCCGAAGGTGGTGGATAAAATAGCGGACTATAAACGCCAGAATCCCACCATGTTCGCCTGGGAGATCCGGGACAGGCTGCTGGCGGATGGCATCTGTGATAACGACACCGTCCCCAGCGTCTCCTCCATAAACAGGTGAGAAAACCCCCTTTTACAATAACTGTTGTGCCAGTTACTGAGTGACTTCTTGGCTCTGTCAGTAATTTTCGAGAGAAAACGTCTTTGGCGTCTCTATAGCTTCCGTAGAGACATTTTAAACAATGTGATGTGCAAATCTGCATTAAAAAAAAAGTTATTTGACAATAGGCTATTTGTGTTCTGCCAAGAATTTGATCTTACCTGAAAGTAGTTGAGCGGCGTACGGTTGCTATGGTTACCAGCTCAGGTGAAAAGGACTTCGCGATGGTCTGTTTGGCGCACCTTGACTAACTTCTAATCGCAGTTTTAAACCTTTAAATTGAAATAAACCGCAGACATTTGAAACGCACCTCTACTTGAATGCAAAACGAATCCATTTAACGCCTTTCGACCTATTAGAAAATAAAATAAAATAATAATAATAATAATAATAATAAGAACGCGCCTTTTGTTAATTGGGCGAATGTGACGCACGTCACTGACGGCCTGTATGTAATGTTATGTTGTGGGTGTTTGTTGCTGTTGTCTCCGGTATAGGGCACGGGGGAATGAACCAGCTGGGCGGGATGTTCGTGAACGGAAGGCCTTTACCTGACGTCGTGCGCCAGAGAATCGTGGAGCTCGCGCATCAAGGGGTCCGACCCTGTGACATCTCCAGACAGCTGAGGGTCAGTCACGGCTGCGTCAGCAAGATCCTGGGCAGGTGAGACCCTACAACATGAGATTTACTCAGTTCAGAAAGAACAACGCATCCATTGATGTAAAGTGTGTTTCAACTGCTTTGTGTAGTTTTTCACATTTTTAATCTTTTTTAAACTTCAGTAATTTACAATCAAATTTTAGAAGTAGAAATGTTCATGTAGTCTCTCATTTAATGAGCTCACAAAACACTGAATTAATAAGAATTAGCAACATGCAGGCAATAGTTTTATATTGAGCACACGACGAACCACCCAACATGCAAACATTTGCTCTTCTTAACAGCACACAATTGAGAATCATGCAAGTTTGCGTTTTTCCCTGATTATTATCCAATTTGAAATCAACAAAACCAAAAGAGTCACCTCTAATGAGCTTGAACGATCTGTGATCATTATTATTATTACCTTTCCCAAAACTGTTTTCCATCTCAGACTATAAAAAAAATGCTTTAAATGGCTTTTATTTTCATAGAAAAAAAGGGACAATTAATTTATTTTGGGCAGGGCCTATATATACATGCTTAAAAATAAATTATTTGACCAATGATTTGAATCCTTTAAAATGATTAATTATTAAAATAAAATTAATTTGCTAGTTCAGGCTATTTAAACAAGGTCAAAAGGCAGAAGTAGAAATGCTAATGTGCTTGTTCAGTCATTGCTCTTCCATTTTATTAAATGTAATAAATAATGGATTTATTAATACATTGATTTATTAGTCCAAAAAATGTTTCTAACATAAATTGATTTTAGCTTAGCTTATTGTTGTTTGGTCATATAGAATTCCGTTTCAAATATATATTTTCTTCATCTTGGATTAATAAGTGAGTTACTAAAGCAGATGGGCTGTTTAATGTCCTGCTGCGCAACATTTTAAATTAGTATTCTAATCATATGATAATTTCCTACTAGTGCTGCTATGGGCCCTGTTAAGTAGCTTAGATAAAACATTTTCATGGCTTTGTTAGCACGCATCTGTTGTTTATTGTCATTAGGTTTGGTCAGGTTATGAAAATCAGATTTACAGTTGTTTCTGCAGATATTATGAGACTGGCAGCATAAAGCCTGGAGTCATCGGAGGATCCAAACCTAAAGTGGCCACGCCGAAGGTGGTGGATAAAATAGCGGACTATAAACGCCAGAATCCCACCATGTTCGCCTGGGAGATCCGGGACAGGCTGCTGGCGGATGGCATCTGTGATAACGACACCGTCCCCAGCGTCTCCTCCATAAACAGGTGAGAAAACCCCCTTTTACAATAACTGTTGTGCCAGTTACTGAGTGACTTCTTGGCTCTGTCAGTAATTTTCGAGAGAAAACGTCTTTGGCGTCTCTATAGCTTCCGTAGAGACATTTTAAACAATGTGATGTGCAAATCTGCATTAAAAAAAAAGTTATTTGACAATAGGCTATTTGTGTTCTGCCAAGAATTTGATCTTACCTGAAAGTAGTTGAGCGGCGTACGGTTGCTATGGTTACCAGCTCAGGTGAAAAGGACTTCGCGATGGTCTGTTTGGCGCACCTTGACTAACTTCTAATCGCAGTTTTAAACCTTTAAATTGAAATAAACCGCAGACATTTGAAACGCACCTCTACTTGAATGCAAAACGAATCCATTTAACGCCTTTCGACCTATTAGAAAATAAAATAAAATAATAATAATAATAATAATAATAA